AAACATGAATGCAACATTTAGTAAGATCCCCAATTCGACCAATTTTTGTCATGTGGCATACTTGTTAGTCATTCTGATACACTTTAATTAAGAAGATGCATTTAAACATATGACAACGTAAACAGTAAACATTGTAAACATCGTACTATATAAACAAAAAAATCTTAAATTTTAAATTATATCAATAAACAACAGCAATGATAGGCCCAGCAACCACAAAAGATAAGTTATTAAAACTTATGTCCGAAAAGGAAAACTTGGAAATACAAATAAATGCCTACGGAAACGTTTTGGCAGAGGTATAAAGTTGTCTTTCCACTTAGCATCAAAGAAATGACTGTGCATTTTTTTCAATTATGGATTTATTTTATATATTTTTTTGTATCTTAGAATGATAATGTTGGCATGCATGGACCATTAGTCGATTCAGAAGGATTCCCACGCAATGATATTGCTATTTATAAAGTTCGTCAGGCCAGGCAACAATTATCTGTTTGCAAAACAATCACAAGACCCTAATGAAATCCATTGAGGAGCTAATGCACAAATTGCATGCCGAGACTAGACAAGAGGAACAGCAGAATTTAACCCAACAAACGTCCCAATTAAATATAAATGGCAGTTCCAGTGATAATTCGGAGGAAATGGACGCAACGGTAAATGGTTTGAGACCAGTAGTACCAATTGTGAAAATAACCCATGTTGATGCTGGATCGCCGGCAGAAAGAGCAGTAAGATAAATAACGATAATTGTGCCCTATTTTTATTCATGTTTGATCACTTTTCCAGGGTCTGAGAAGCCAGGATCGCATAGCCGAATTCGGTTCAGTCAATGCTGATAACTTTAATAAGCAGCTATCCACAATTGGAAGTATTGTTAGCCATAAACGCGACCAAAGAATACCATTAAAAGTTTTGCGAAATAATGAAATTCTGGATATAGTCTTAATACCACAACGATGGTCGGGCAATGGCTTGTTGGGTTGTAATATTGTTCTATCTGAATGAATCGTTTGCATGTAATAAATCAGCATTTTGTTATAAATGTATACAAAGGGAATTTAATAAATAAAAAATATATATATTTTTGGAAATGAATGAAGTGAAATTTGGTGAGATTTTTAGAATTTTATTCAATTCATAAATTGATTATGATTGGTGTGTAATATAGCCCAATAATTTGTTCAAGAGTCCAGTACACGAGAGCGCCTTAAGAGATAAAAATTAACTATTACATTGCTGATAGTTTGCAAGTTCTTTCAAGCAGATTAAAAATCAAATATTTTATGGTCGTTGTGAAAATAAGTATGTACATTGTGAAAAGATGTATGTCAGTATATATGTCCAGCAAAAATTGCTCAGTAGCCTGTACTGAGCAAACTAAACAACATTTTTTTAAAATTATGCGTTATTCGAATCAAATTGCAATTTCTGTATTGTACACTTAGTTTTTTTATGTTATAATACAATGTTTATTATCTGTAAAATAATTAAATTATTTACTGAGTTTTTTCAAACTAAATTTTTCAGCAATATTTTAAGTAACTCAACTGTTGAAATTACTCTCCCTTTCCTCGCTCTGATTTACTGGAATTAATCCGAACAGGATAATTGTGCACTTTAGGCTTCAGATATTCGTTTTATATAGGAATTGATATTAAGAGATTTTCAATAATAAGGTTCCCAAACATTTTCTTGAATTCAATATACTTTTTTTGAATATCCTTCATAAATTTTGTCGGAATTTTTCCTTGGAGAAAAATATTGCACTTTTTTTAAATATTCAAATTCTGGGCAGACCCTTATAAAATTTTAATTTAAACATGTAAATAAGCTCGAATGGGTCGAACTTTTAATATACTCTACCATTTGGAAAAAATTTGCAAATTGTAAAAATTCCGTTGAAAAGAGCCGCTAACTTCTTAAAAATCGCTATTATCAGGTGTTACGGTTATATGGGTTTGAGATAATTCTGTTGAAAATGTAGCTCAAATCATCCAAATACCGGAAAATGGGAGGTGCCGTTATTTGTCGGCTTAAAAAGACATGGATCTGCTCAGATAGTATTCTGTAATAGGAAGTAGTGGTACCATGGTACATAAGGAGTTAGGACAGCTTCGTATACAGCCCTGATGCTATGCCCCTTTCAGAACTACAGGAAAAAAGTTGTTTACATTTATTTGATTTTTTTGTTCGTTCTTAAAATGAGTCAAATAGCGCGAAAGGTGAATGAAATGCCTGGATGTTCCCTTAAATATATGATCAAATCTGGTTAATATCATTAATGTAATCCCGGTAATTTAAGTTTCTTGCAATCATTGATTTTGAAAATATTTCGTTTTTATTTTTCAAAACAACAAATACATACACAAAATTTGCAGAAGTCGGACACACTTAGAAAAAATTGTAATAAGCCGGTAGCTCTACCTTACCTTTTTACTTTACCATGGTAGTACCCATTGTGAACTCCAAATTTGAAATAATTCCTGTAAAAAGTGTAGCTAAAATTATTAAAATACCGAATAAAAGGTAGCCTTATATGGAGGTTATACGAAGACATGGACCTATATAAGCAATTTTCTGTCAGTGGAGGTGGTATTCATTGCTAATACCAAAATTGATACAATTCCGGTGAAAATATTACACAAATCAGCCAAATATCGAATATCGGGGGTACAGTTATTTGATTTGTAAGATAACAGCTGATTCATTAAAACAACTTTGGCGCAAATCTGAACAGTATATATTTAAATGCAGTTTATTTATATTTAGATTTTCATTACAAAAAAAAAAAAAAAAATTAATAGTAAAAACATAAACTATTTCCATCCTCAAAGATACCGTCTACAACAAATACTTATTATTCCAGCATCTCAAATTGATACAGGCATGAGCAAGAACAATTTTTAAGCTGGATTTGACAGCTAAATGAAGAAAATAGCTCATCATCCGCTCTTAATTTATTTATTTTTAATCTTTACGTTTTATTTATCCATTTTTTGTTAATGTTAATAATTTAGCCCTTTTTTTCTTAAAAAAATAGTTTGGTTAAATTTTTTTACAAAACAACATCTTATATTAGGTGTGTCTGGTTACCCTAAAATTTGTAACAATTGTTACAAATTGTTACTGGAAGTCGTCTGTTATGCTAGGAACACAATTGGAGCGAACGACGAATTTCGCCCTACGCGGCGACAAAATAAGCCGCGAAAATTCGTCGTATGGAACACAATACCGACGAAATTATAAAACAGCTGATGAAGTTGTTTACTTTTTGCTCATTTGTTGACTACAATGAATTATACAAGAACACATAATTCTTTACGTTCTCTATTATAATTTCACTTATGTCCATCTTCTCTATTATAAATTCACTGATATCCATCTTCACTCAGGCGCAAGTACACAAATAAATAAACAAATTAATTATGTTTTTTTTATACGAGTAACAGATAGTAGAGTGACCATAACAAATTTTAAAGTAAAAAGTAACTTTATTTACTAAAACACATAAAATTCGTACAAGTATGGCCACCTTGTACTGTTTTGTTCGCCGGTCGCCGGCGTATGAAATAGAAATAAAGCTAATTGAGTTCGCGGCGACCGACGAAATTTTCGCCGGTGCCGTGATTGTGTGCACTTCCATATACACATATGTGTTTTATTTTTGACGACGAACATACGCCGCGAAAAAATTCGTCGTTCGCTCCAATTGTGTTCCTAGCATTAACCCGAAAGTTCTGCAAAAGAGAGCAGTTGGAGAGAGAAATTTTGAGAGTTCTTTCAGTGAGAGTTTGCAAATTCTTGCTGGACAAATTTTTTCTTGCAATCTCTTGCAACTCTTCTTCTTCTCATTCATCGACATGTTTTGGAATTAGCAAGACTAATTGTTTTTGGAGAACAACTTTACAAAATGTGAAAAACACAAATATTAATATGTAATTAGAACATAAAAGACTATTTCCAATATTTTTAGACAAACACCTCTAGGAACACGTTTAAAGGATTCTGGGCAACACATCAAATATATCTTTCTTTTATTGCTCATATTTTTGTTCTAGTGCTAATTTCCGTTTTTATTTATAAAACTTGTAAAATTGGTGGTGCTTCCTTTCTATTAATTCTTTTAATGGGGAACAAATAGGTTTATTTTAACAAATCAGCTGATTAGTTGCAAGCTTTTGTAGGAATATCGTCTGTTTACTTTTCGCATTTTCCTTGCAAAAGAGAATAAAACTACCTTACTCTCTCAGAAAGATGTTGCTGGACAATTCCTGCAGGAAAAGTAACCGGACACACCTATTACAATAATATGTGGTTTACAGTACGTTTATATATAAATGGGTTAACCGGCTGGATTTGGATTAAAATTGTCATATCCATTACTTATACTTCAAATAAATCCTCTCAAAGTAGGTTAACCCTACAAAAAGTTCTAACGTAAACATGGCATTAGTTTAATATGTAATAAAATTGAAAAATACAGGTAGTAACATAGGCACAGCTGCTGGGACATTAACTGTCAAACCGATTTTGGAATTGAAAAATATATTACAATAACTTCCGATTGACGTCGTATAAGAAAACATATAAAAATCTACTTATATTTAAAAAAAATATTTTAAGATTGTTGACACATCAATGTTCCCAAGCGTTGATGCCTCTACCTATATTCTTTTACCATGATATCGTGTCACTGCAACATCATGTATGTCAGTGTGAAACGAACAGATTTAAAATTTTGGTTTTAATATAGAACAACAAAATAACTGGCATTAAAATCCAGTTTTTAAATTTTAAATTTTGTCATTTGTTTGACAACGAAACGATTTCTGTGTCAATGGAACGCTTTTCTATCTGATTGCTCAATTAATTTAAACCCCCCTTAAAATAACGAGCTTTTCTAACACACACGGACATTTCCCAAGTCACACTCACTGCCCGAATTAAAAGTAATTGGCAACACTCTCCCTCTCACAGGACATATGTGTGTATTAGTTTTTCCACGTTCGTATTCTCTTTTTCCTTTGCACTTTGTCAGTTAGTATCCTCGTTGCCGTCGTCGTCATCAAGCTTTGTTAAAATTGGAAAGCGCGTGCAACAAACGTAAAAGAAATTCGCAACAAATCCTCAAGAAAAATGATGAAAAAAACTTAAAATATAATCTATCCTCTTAATAAAATGTGATGTAAAAGATATAAGGATACGTGGAGGAATTAAAATATCCGGGATTTCAAATTTCAAAATAGTGAATGTGAAATGAAAAAGGTGCATAAAATGTAAAAGAAAAAAATGAATGTTGCAAAGAGAAGCCAATACCAAAGCAAGTGAAAAAATTATATCCTTTGTGGTCTTTACATAATGACTACTACACACACATACAAATATAAATGCATACACACATATGTCAGTGTGCTTGCGTGTGCCCAACTAAACGATGATTTTTGCTGTTGCTCGCTATTCGCTGTGGATGGATGTGTGTTGGATGGACATTTTCTTCATACATATTTCCTGTAAAAGCGTCTGAGTTCCATTTCTCAGCTTGTGCATAACTGTGTGTATGTTTAGTGTGAAATGAGCCAAAACCAGACAGACAACTAAACAGACACAGTTTTAGTAAATTGCTTGTCGGAATACTTGTTATTAGCGGTAGCCGTAGTAGTAGAAGTAGTACTCATGGCAGAATTGTGGGGCAATTGTAGGCATTTTGTCAACTGGAGTAAGCACATACACACATGCATGCATGTCGGCTATATGTGTGTGAGTGTGTGCCTGTACATGAACGTGGTGGCTTTCCTCTTTCCGTCTCCTCTTTTTGTAAGGAACAGGGTTCTTGGCCACTGTCAGTGTCATCATCATTATTACTTGGTTCGGTCTTCTTCTTTTTTCTTTTCTATTTTCGCAAAACAATGTCATTCGAATTAGTGTCACAATGATAAATATAAAATAATAATTTCTTTTCTTCCTTGAATTCCTTTCTGTACTCTTCGACTCTTGCCCTCCGCTTAATGAGTTGGAGAACGGTTTCCACAAAGTTTTGTACCAATTAAAATTTAAGTTGTTGCCTACTTTTGTGCGTTTCATTGTAGGAATATTAATTATTTTGGTGGAATTGTTCGTTTTTAACGTTCACACATTGTGCATGTATGCGTGCTCTTGAGTGACTTCATTTCTTCTGGGACAGGGCTTTTCCAATTTAATTCTCTTTTTTGTTTAAAACACATGGGTACCTTTCAAAATGGCACAACGTCTCTTGGACGAGTTCCAATCTTGAAGGTTACTCAAACACGAAAAGAAACTAAATATAGAATGTTAGCCATGGTTATGGATTTTTATTTACAAATAATGCGGAAAACAGATGAAAGTTCGGATCAGAATACACTCAGCCGAATAAATATTCGTAGACAATAAACTTTATAAGTTTTCTTTTGTTATTTTTTGTTCCGTTGGCATTGTAGAATAATATAGGTAAGAGCAAGTGTTGTTGTAGAAGAAATCTAACGACAATCACATACAAATTTTACAAATGTTAATAAAACAAACAGTTGTTAATAAATTATTTCAAAAATGTATACATTTGGAATGTGAATTATTGAATTTAAAATGCAGAACAAATATTCCTAAACTGCTTAATTTTAACGCTTTTATGTCCCTCTTCTCAATATACAAGGAATTTGGTACGAGATCGAGGAAAGAACAACATCCTTATGAAATTGAAAGCACAATACAAATACAGGGTGAGATAAAAAACTGCAACAAAGTCAAACGTCATAATTTTTACATTTTTTTTTAATTGTATTCAATGAAAGCAAAAAATGTCGGAAATAGCATCAAATTTTAGAATAAATTTAGATTTGTTCGAATTGGTCACCTTTGGCACGAATTATGACCTTCAAACGGCCAATGAAACCGTCACATGCTGCCCGAATGTTGCTCTGCGGTATTTTGGCTCATACCAGGCGTAGCGCGGGCTTGAGGTGATTGACACTTTGGTATTTTTTAGTGCCAACCTGCTTTCCAAAATACTCCAGGCACAATAGTCTAACGGATTGGTATCAGGAGATTTTGGTGGCCATTGTGCGTTGAAAATGAAGCGATGAACCTCATTTTGTAACCATTCTTGGGTGGCGCGTGCTGTGTGCGATGGTGCTGGGTCCTGTTGGAATGTCCAAGGCCTGCGGGCAAAATGTTTGCGTGCCTAGGGCTTTATTACACCCTCCAGAATATTTTCGCAATAATATTTGGCATTTATTCTGATGCCACGTCGATTAATACGAGCGGAGAGCGACCATCGGCTGTTATGGCGGCCCACACTATCACCATGGCCGGCGCTTGAGTTCTGGTGGCCAAGCGAAGGTGCACATTTTCAGCTGACCTCTTTGGCAAGTAAACACGATCATTTTGTTTGTTTACAAACTGCTGGACCACGAATGTTTTCTCTTCGGAGAAAACCAAATTCGGCATTCGGCAGTTCACCACTTTCGAAGCAACTTTTAAGCTCTTTTTTTCTTTCTGTTGTGTTGTAAGTTTTTACACTTTTTGGAATTTCAATGGCTTTACCCGGAGCTCATTTTTCAATATTTGCCGAATGGAATATTGCGATATGTTTAGGTCACGCTGAACGCTACCAGTAACGAGCGATTGTACGAGGCACAAAAGATTTATTCAAATTGTGGTGGTGGTGTGGTTTTCCAGCCAAAAATAAAAAGTCATACTATCACGCTTGAATTCCATCACGAATAACTTTTTTTTCTGGAAAATTCTCACCAAAATGCTTTTGTACGCATGTAAACAATATAATAAGCTGTCACTTGAATAATTTTAACAGCTGTCGGACAAGTGGCTTAGAAATGACAGCAGCCTGAAGTTGGTTGCAGTTTTTTCATCTCACCCTGAATATAAACAAACATCAGCTGAGCGGCATTTATATCCCCCTATGGGAGTATCTAAACATACAAGGTTTACCCACTGGATATATTAAACCAAGTGGGTAATCTTCAATAGTATAAATGCGCTATAAACGAGTCTACTAGTTTTTTAACTCACTAGCGTATAGTCGACAAGAGTGTGTAGAAGATTTATTAAAAACAAACAGCGCCCTTTTGTAGATATACTTTAAGTTGATTATTTGCAATTTCACACAAAGGATATAGGAATCTCATGAAGGGGTCATCCGCAAATCATTGGACTGTTGAAATTTTACCAACATAATTCTTTCATACTCATATCTTGTTTTTTTTTTATACCCTCCACCATACTATGGAGGGTATATTAACTTTGTCATTCCGTTTGTAACTCCTCGAAATACTCATGTCAGACCCAACAAAGTATATATATTCTTGATCAGCGTAAAATTCTAAGTCGATTTAGCGATGTCCGTCTGTCTGTCTGTCCGTCTGTCTGTTGTTATCACGCTATTTTTCGAATGAATTGAGATAGATGGCTAAAATTTGGCACACATGTTTATTTTTCCAATAGGCAGGTTAAGTTCGTAAATGGACCATGTAGGTCCACGTTTTCATATAGCTCCCATATAACGGTAACCCCCCTATATTCGGTATTTTGATGATTTTAGCGACGTCATTCACTGGAATTGTTTCAAATTTGGTATTTGAAGTTCCAAATGGATACTACACCCTAAGATAGAAAATTGTCTGTGCAAGTCTATGTCTTCGTATAGCCCCCATATAACGGTACCTCCCGATATTCGGTATTTTGATGATTTTAGCGACATTATTCACGGGAATTGTTTCAAATCTGGTATTTGAAGTTCCAAATGGATACTACACCCTAAGCCAGAAAATTGTCTTTGCAGGTCCACGTCTTCGTATAGCCCCAATATAACGGTACCTCCCTATATTCGGTATTTTGATGATTTCAGCGACATTATTCACTGGAATTGTTTCAAATTTGGTATTTAAAGTTCCAAATACTACACCCTAAGACTGAAATTTGTCTGTGCAGGTCTACGTCTTCGTATAGCCCCATATAACGGCACCTCGCTATGTTCGGTATTTTGATGATTTTAGCGACATTATTAGCCGGAATTGTTTAAAATTTGGTATTGTCGGTGCGGGTCCAGTTTCGAATTTGAATATGGCAATGGCTTATGACAAACAATGCATATGTATGTCCACGTCGTATAGACCCCAATATAACGGCTATATTCGGTATTTTTAAAATTTTAACAGAATTTTTTAAGGATTTTATTTTTTGAAAATTTCCAAATTCGTTGCAAATGGTGGAGGGTATTAAAAGTTCGGCCCGGCCGAACTTACTGCTTTTTAACTTGTTTTCTTTTTTTAATGACTGGATTTGTAGTCCATTTGAACATTAACTTACCCACCATGTTTATTGGTTACACTCGACCGATTCACTGTACTATGTACCTCAAACATATGTATTTACATATGTACACACATAGATATACATATCCTTAAAGGTCTGATGACTGAGCAAATGTATTTTTTTGTGTGTCAGATGTTCGGTTGCTTGGACTTGGCGGAGAGTGGCATTGGCATCAATTATTCAGTCATATCGCTGCGTACAAAATATTAAAACACATCGCCCAACATCTTGGCTTGCTTTTTGTGTTATTGTTGCTGTTGTGATTTTCAAAATATTTGCTCACATTCTGTTTTCTGTCATGCTGTTGTTTGCCGCTGATGTACAAAAGGACAGGAGCCGTTGTTGTAAAATTTATGCAGATCAGAGGGCTGCAACGAGTATACAAAAATTCAAGCATACTCGGTTTCTTACCTGATTTTTGTTGATGCAGTCGTTTAGCTTGATCTGAATGAAATGACCGTTTTCGCTTCGGATCGAATCGAACGCTCAGTTTGAATCACTTCACTCACAATCAAACATGAGCGTTCGAGACGGTTTGATGTGTTCAGCAACATGAGTTGATCGAACACATGAATGTAAATGAGCAATCACAACCGTGATTGTCTTCTTTGAATCGAGTTCGTTCAGCGTCATTGTTTATTCAACCATTTAATCAAGTTGCTACAGTTTATTTTGACTTTTTTAATATTTGAAATTGAATAATATTGTGATAGTGCGACCGAAATTGTAGCAAGTAGAAACTACACAGGTGTAGGTAAACGAAAAGGTCGAAGTTTGTGAAAAATCTTGACCAATATTGTAAAATAAAAAAAAAAAAAATTAAACATTTTTAGTTTTCTAAATCGCAATGATGTCTTTCTTTATTAAAAAATTTAATTTTGTTTTTTTTTTTTTTCAAATAAGTCACTGAAGTCTAACAT